GGGTTTATCTCTAGGGTTCATGATCTATAACATAAGGAATCTAGATAAGGATTTTCTATGACTCTGGAATTAGAATAGATACTTAGAAGATTAGCCAACTCTCGTCACCATAATCATCTAATTACTCTAACTCGACAAGTAGCTTTCGTCTCTTGCCGCAAAAGTGATCATGCAATCTTGATCGAAACTTATTTTGGCTTACACCCCCTCCGTAGGTAGCTTTCGTCTCCTACGACAATTACATCCATAAGATCCAGTTCAGGCAATCTGATACATCACTCTCGTGGCTCTGATTAAACCTTAGATCGAACAGTGGGTGATCAATCCAGCATACATCATTAAAAACAAGATGAATGGGAGAGTCATGTAAAATAATAAATCCTTAGTCTAACAAAACCTAGATGTTATTGATTATGGAGTCCCTTTCGATGGCCTTTTTACCTAACAAGGTAACTACTCAGACATAGCTGAGCTTAACATCATCGTTGGTTTTGAAATAAAAAGCAGTAAAGTAAAAAGATAAAGGATGAAAAAAAGCTTCTCTTATTGAAGACAGGTTTGGCGAGAAAGTCTTCTACAAAAGCATAAAATTAAAACCTAAAAATAAAATGAAGTACTCTCTCTAAAGCATGAAAGAGGCTAGGTTGGGCTTCTGAGGCTCAGAATTAAGTCCACCGCAGGTGAGAGAGGCTGGGCTGCAGTGCAAGATGCTTTGGCTGCGGGTGATATCTACTTCATCTTTCCAGACTGTGTTGATTTAACTTCAGTGTATTGATGATATTTGGACATCTAACCGTTGGATTACATTGATTCCAAATGCAATGGAAATCTAGTTGTCTACAATGTCGCCAAATTTGGGTATGATCAGACTCTGAAAACATCTTCATTGGTTACCAAACTTCTGACGGCCTGAATTGATCCAAAAATGTAATTTTGCTCCAAAATGCACTTCAAAAGTCCAAGTTTCCTGAAAAGTCTTTTAAACCTCCAAAACATAGAAATCACTTATAAAAAATTGACAACTGATTGAAAAAATTTGCAAAAGACATTAAAAGTGATCCATAAAAATGATAAAAATCCGATTCTATCTATGTGGACATGTCAAAACCTTGGAAGAACAAACTCAGAAAGTTCCACATACATTTGTCGGGATGATAGAGCAGGTCGCAAGAGAACAGACAAGACAAGACTATGATATCATTCAGAACTCTAGTGACATTGCCGAATCAAAGCAAGAGATCAAGGAGGTTGGAGAATTTTCCTTTTGGTATAGAGAGAAGACAGATGAAGAACTTCAAAAGATTGAGTACTGTCTCAGCAAACTTGAATTCAAGGCGATCAGATCTCCAAGTATGATTCAGCTAGAGGTTTTCTTATAAAATCCTCTGAAGATCGTGAAGAGAAGGAAAATATGAGTCCAGGTGTAGGCATGAAAGAAGCCGAGGAGCCACCCGATGAAACGCCAAAGGATAACAGTGAAGAGGATCCCATCCTTGAGAAAGATAGAGGAGCAAACTCGGTGCAGACGCCATCTGTGGCAGATGGTACACCTCACCCGACCGCGGCCAAAAATCTCCTTCACCGCGGTTGCAGGACCTTCTATCGCGGGGGACTGTCTTTCAACCTTGCCTCTGAAACTTACAACAAGTTCTGAGCCTTCTCTGACCCTTTCTCCGCCTATAGCATCTGAGAAAGCAATTTGGGACAGAGGAATCAAATTCCAGCTATTGATCCAGACCCAGAAGAACACATTCCACATGTTCCATGCGAGATGATCATAGGATGTGATGAGAATGCAACAAACTCCACAAGCCAAGAGGATCTGACACAAAAGAGGATTCAGATGCCATACATAGACTCATACCTGTGTTTTGATTCTGCAGCTTCTTAGGGTGAATACTACTCAGCGTTTGAAACATTCACCAACACCAAAGATGAAGAGCCAGTTTGAACACTGCACAAACTCGAAGATCAAGGTCAATTCATCTCTTGTTCTATTAGAGGTGAAAGATTTAACCATGTTCTTTGTGATTCTGGAGCTTGTCTCAACATGATGTCCAAAGCAACTGCTTTGAGGCTTAGTATTAAGCATCTGCGCAGGACTAGCACAAGGATCAGCCTAGCTGATGAATCCAGTGTAACACCAAAACTAGAAGCTTATGACATTTCCTTGAGGATTGGAGACTGCATTATACCTCTCGATTTTTACATTGTCAAGACCAAAGATGATTCACATCCGATCATTCTTGGATGGTCTTTTCTAGCAACTGCCAGAGCCATCATGGATTGGCCAAACCGGAGGATTTCTTTTGCTAATGTCGACAAGGACATTAAAAATAATTTGTACAATAGGGCCATTTATGTACCTTATGAACAGGGGTGTGAAACTGTTGGCTGGAATCAGTATTGTCTGGTGTGGAGATATCTTCTGTTAGATGAATAATGAGAGATGAACAAGGTGCATGAGACGTTGAGCATATGGGGGACTGCTGTTTTTTCTGTCGTTTGCTTTTCGGTTTGACTGAACTGAAACGTTGAGAAGACAATCTCCCAAAACGGGTGTGCTCTTGGATCTAGGCTTATCTTCAAGCTTTTGAACATGTGCACACAACTGCTGGACCTGAGCAAGTAGCCATTGGTTCTGATTTTCAACTTCTACAGATGGTGGAATGAGAACCTCGTCCATAGTTTTCTGTTTTCGCCGACTAACATGTTTTGTGTTCTTTTTTCCGAATACGTAGTTTTGGGGGGGTGTGAGGTTGAAACTGTCGCTTTTTACGGTCTACAATGTGTCGCCTGTGTACCCCTTTCACTGGGGTCGGAATATGGTGGGACAAGGGCTCTGAAGTGTCTCCTCCTGGCCAGATGGCCTTGCTAAAAGAATGATATTTGTTTACGAGGTCTTCCAAGTAACTGATTTTCCTGTCTCTTATCTCGTCATTCCATTCTTCTCATCCAACACATCAGGTGTCTCGACATGGATGAGTGGATTAACAACAAGTTTTTGAAGGCGTGAAAAAAGAAGATGGTGTTACTAAATGCAGAGAATCTTAGGGATAATGTGGTAGATTGACAAGGTGGGATGACTTACATTGTCTCCAAACTCGACGTCAAGCACATCATAGATGTGGAGAGAGTTATTTTTGCGAAGTTTAACACCACGCCAATCCAGTAGTGTGGGCTGTGTACTGTCTTTCGGTAACTTCAAGGGGAGAGTGGGGATGGCTTCAAAAGCAACAAGCTGCAAAGGAAGTGGGAAACCTTGCATCCGGAAAGTAGATTGGCACATTAATTGCCAGAAAACAACTACTGGGTCATCGACTTTACTTGGCACTTTTTTTTTCGAGCGCATACATGCAATTGTTTTGAGGAAAGATTCTCTACCCTAAAGAAAGCTCAGGAATCCGTCAAGGTCCTCCAACATGCGGACATATTTTGGGGTGGGTTTATGAACTTGAGTATTTGCAACCAGAACACCATCAACGATTAGGAGGAAGGCTAAACATAGCTTTCTGCTATTGGTCATATCAGGCTGGGTTTTTAGAATGCACCCAATGTTAGCCAATGTGGTTTTGGGATATGTTCCTATAAGCTCCCTCCAGTAAGCATTCGGAGCAACCTCGTTGGGTGGCTGATAGTCTGGCTCGTAATCTTCAGGGAACTCGCCATATGGCAAGCCAGTTATATGGCCAAACTCCTTCAATCCAAAACAAAATGGCTGTCCACTGAAAACCATCCATATTTTAATTTTTTTTTGCTAACCACTTGCCTGGTAGGGAGTGCGTGGATGAGCTTGCACGAGATTGGACACCGAGATTCAGGAAGGTCAAATAAATAACCAAAACAAGAGTTTCTAATAGTCTAGAACTCTGGCGTATCCCTCAAAACGTCATGGAGAAAAATAAGGATGTCTGGCTTGGAGTAAACGTTAATACGGTTAATTGGGAAACGGTCAGTCGCAAACAACTGAGACGGTAAGCGGTTGTCCCATTTCAACTTTTCTTCTGAATCTGTAGCAGAAGTTAATGAGTGCTCCACTAGACCAAGTTTATGACAATAAGAATCATTAAATGTGTGAACAAAAGACACATAGTTCGCCGAATATACTACAATGGAGTGAGATTATGCAAATAATAACGAATTACAAACAGAAAATGCGAAAATCATAAAACGAGAGAAATCCAGTCTGTCCGAAAGTTCCTGAAACAACACAATTCGTCGAAGATGCTCCAATAGAAGGAGATTATGTAAATAATAACTAATTACAAAGTGGAAATGAAAAAATCTAAAACGACAGAAACCCAGAAAACTCTTGTCTGTTATATCGAAAAGATGAGGCTTCTGATGGGAATTTAAAACTGCGACTAAGAATTTTATCTAGAGAGAAGCAGATAAAAAACCGAGAGAGAGAGATGATCGATATAGTATTTTCCGATGGGAACAAGATCTGCTAGTGTTCACCAGAAACACAGCTAAAGTTTTGGTGAAGAAGATACCAAATGAAAGAAATTACAACAACCGGTAAAAAACGATAAATCTTTAAACAAAGATAAATTTCCAATTAAGGATACTTCTTGCATACACAAAGTGTGTTAGTGACAAATAGCAAGAAGTTTCTTTTCTTGTAATAAGAAAGACATAAAATAATGACTTTTACTATAATTATTTCTTGATATAACTGCAATAAATAAAAAAAGCATTTACTTATAATTTTTTTGTTCAAAACCGAATCGAACACCAACCAAATCAGATTATTTAAAACCAACCTAAACCGAACTGATATTAAAATTTTGAGATCTAAAACCTATAAATTTTGAAAATCAAATAATCTGAATCGAACCAAACCGAACCAACCAGTGCCTTTTAGGGTTTTCTTCTCCACTACAAAGTCTGTAACACGGCCCACTCGTTTGCTCTTGGATTAGTACATTACAGTCATGCTCAGCCTTTGAGAGAGATCTCTCTTCTAATCGCCAAGTCTAATCTCTCTACTTCCTTCATCGCCGATCAGGTAATCAATCTTCCGATTTTTAGTTTTCTTATAATCGCTCCCGATGAACCATTGATGCTACCTTCCAATGGCAATCAATAATATGTTTATTCCGAAACTTGAATTCATGTTCTTGTATTTGTTCTGACTACAGAATCCGAATCTCATTCCCATTTTGCAGCCTTCTCTTTTTGTCTTACATTGCTATGTCCAACAATCTCTTGCATCAGCCATTTTCTGTAAGTAGTACACTGGCAAGTATGCAAATTGGTCCATGTAGCAATGTCCCTACTTCTAAACCGGAAGCGAGATTGTTGACACAACCAATCTGTAGATATCAAGAAGCACCTTCATTGCCAGTAAGAAGTCAGATCTCTGGGAGGCAGGATTGTAATGTAATGATGCAAGCATCATCTGTGTCTCGTGGTGCCACTGTAGGATCTGAGGGGTCTATTCCAGTTCACATGGATGCAACTCAGTTACAAGGTAAGCGGAAATCACCGATGCAGCCTTTGTACAGTGTGACTGCTTCTCCTGAATTGTTGTCTGTGCAAAATAAACGGATGGTACCTATGCCGGTGAAGTTATCTTCTGTTTCCCCTAAGACACAGTTTTTGCCTGCATCTTTTTCTTGTAATAAACCACCCGGGAAGCAAACTGCAGCGAGGAAACAGGTTTCACCGAGATCGCTGCCGCTGAAGCCTCAGAACGAATCATCTGAATCCGTGAGGTCTAAAATGAGAGAATCGTTGGCAGGTGCACTGGCAATGGTACAGTGCCAAATGGAAGATGCCAAGGAGTCGAAAAGGATACATTGTGAGACAGTAACTAATCTTCTCGAAAGTCATGTTTATGAGCCAGTGTCAGCAGCTTCTGGAGCTGATGCGATGGTATCTAATCGGAGCACAGCAAAGCTGACCTTAAGTGATCTTAGTCCTGAGGGAGGTGGCTCTGTAGAGACAGTGTTACCGGAGATTTTGACTGACAACAAGTCAAGTGATGCTAAAGAATTTATTGCACAAGAACCTCAGGCTGTAAAACCTTTTCAGGAAGACAGTGTTTCATATAGTGACAATGTCTTTACAAAAGATGATCTTTTGCAAGGGAATGACCTCTCTTGGGCTCTCGAGTCAGATATAGAGTTAACAGAAAATTGTCAAAATGAAATGATTGGAGCAATAGCTAATGATGAGAGCCAGGAAAGATCCAAGGATAAATTGTTACTGGATCCACAAGTTTTGGCATTTAAAATAGAAGCAGAACTCTTTAAGCTATTTGGTGGTGTGAATAAGAAATATAAAGAGAAAGGAAGGTCTCTCTTATTCAATTTGAAAGACAAGAATAATCCTAAACTCAGGGAAAAGGTTAGGTTTGGGGAGATTCCAGCAGAGAGATTGTGTTCCATGTCAGCTGAAGAACTTGCTTCAAAGGAATTGGCAGAATGGCGACAAGCAAAAGCAGAAGAGATGGCTCAAATGGTTGTTTTGCAGGACACAGAAGTAGATATCAGAAGCCTGGTAAGGAAAACACACAAAGGAGAGTTCCAAGTGGAACTTGAACCAATGGAGAGTGGCTCTATGGAGGTCTCTGTTGGATCGAGTTTGCTTAACTGGTCTCGACCAAAGAATATTAAGAAGAAAACCGCCTCTATAACTAAAACACTTGGAGTCGAGAATGATTTGAACAGCACTGCGCCAATTAACGGAGTCGCACTAGATGATGAGATGCAGGCTGCCACTGGATCTCTTCCTCCAGTTGTCTCTCTTGATGAATTCATGTCATCCATGGATTCAGTATCTCCATCTGACTCTTCGTCTTCAGATACTGAGAAAAGACCTGCTGTTTCACATAATAATGATGCAAAAGCGGTTCTAATTTTGACATCACCTGAAGAAAGTGCTAATCTCATTCTTGGTACATCACCAGTCAAGGCTGAGGCATCACCGCTTAAGGCTGAGGATGATGTCATAGTATCGTCAAAGCCTTATTCTGATTTGAAATCTGAAATCACTACTGTTAACTTACCTGCGGGCGAGCGTGTATGGGAAGGTGCACTCCAGTTGAGTGTTTCTTCTGTGAGCTCTGTCATCGGCATTCTGAAAAGGTTTGTAATCAATGGTTCCATGAGTGGTAGCAAACCTCATTCAGCATATCGTATTCTGTCTATATTTCCAGTTTTGAGTTTGCATATATTAAAAACTTTCTTTTTGATTATTGGACAAAGACTTTATATGTTTTCTTCCCTTTTTTTGACTATTCCAGTGTCTATCAGCTGCATGGAAGATATTTTGAATGGAAAAAGACTAATCCAGTTACAAACTCTTCTGAATTTATAAGCTTATCTTTGCGTTTGTGCCATCCATATAGTATCTCATTCGCATCATAGGACAATTAATTTATGTCAAAGTTTGTACACTAACTGATACCACATTTGCTAACATGATTTTTATTCCTGGCAGTGGCGAAAAGACTAATACAAAAGAGTGGCCTATGTTGCTTGAGATCAAGGGTAGAGTCAGATTAGATGCATTTGAGAAGTTTGTTCGAGAGCTCCCAAATTCCAGGAGCCGTGCTGTAATGGTATTATTTTACACCTTTATCTTTGATTTCACTGTTTATATCCTGACTCTTCTCGTTGCACATTCATTGCTTGCTACACATTCATGGAATATTGTCTGCTTGGTTAATAGCTTTTGCAGGGGAAAAAACACAGAATGTGTAAGCTCGTGATAATTATAAACACATCTATAGAATTCTGTTTGTTTTATTAAACTAGAAGTTTATGTTGTGTTTGATAATTGTCACGAGTTTAGCCGCTGCAAAAGCTATTAGCCCGAGTCTCCACTGTTTGTTTGACTCCATTTGATCATATTGTTTTTGTAATCCGAGCATCTAAAAGAGAAGTATTAAGGAAAGAAGGAGATGAGAAGTATAAAGGCTGATAGGAATTTGTGAATGTTGGGGAAAAATACATATCGCATGAATCACAATAGAGATAAATGGACTTACAAAAACTACTTTCACTAGAACGATTGCAATTTCATGAATAGGCCTCGATACTCCAACATATCTAAGACCTCGTTCTCGGTATCTATCAGGTGTCTTTATATATAAACCTTGCTTTTGTGTTACAGGTCATGTGTTTAGTCTGCAAAGAAGAGTGCTTCAAGACGGAACAAGAAAACTTTTCTGAGGTATGGGCTTTGGTAGTTAGGCTGGATAAGCCGAACTGGCCGAACAAAATCCTAAATATTGGTTAAAATGGGTCAATAACCCAATCAAAAACTTTATTTGAAATTATGTAAAATCAATCCATAGTAAATAGTTTTGAACATGGCTAATGTTATTCATAGACTGAAATTCCAAACCTAACCCGGCTTGAACATTTCTAAATCGCTGTATTGGTTCTGTTATTGTCCTCGTTGATAATAATTTTGAGAAATCTGGTATTGTTACTATACAGGTGGTGGATTCGTACTGTAAAGATGAGAGGGTGGGTTACGCTGAACCGGCTTCAGGAGTTGAGCTTTACCTTTGCCCAGCCCGTGGCAAAACCGTGGAAATCCTAAACAAGATTGTTCCCAAAAACCAACTAGATTTTTCTTTAGATGATGATGCTCTTATAGGTGTTGTTGTATGGAGAAGACCACTATTAAAAAAACCACCAATATCTAACTCTCACAAGAACACACTTAAAATTTCTCGTTACAGTAACATGCGACAGATCAACCAAGACGATGGTGGTGATGTGCCACCGGGGTTTGGTCCATTGGCTATGGCTCGGGATGATGATGATGACTTGCCTGAATTTAACTATATTTCTGGTGGAGATGTTGTCATGAATCGGACAAGCCGCTCTGATTCTGTAAGAGAGCTAATTCACAAATATGGAAAATCTGAACCATTGTGGAACCAAGGTTATAGTAATGACGAAAATGTACACCCTCAGCAAAACCCAACTCTTGGGCATAATTATGTTAACGGTGGCTCGATGGTTAGACCACGTAGCGAGTGGTGGCTTCATCAGGCTGGAGGTGGAGGATATTAATTTTTTTTTTTTTTTTGGTGTTTCAGTTTTTAAAATTTTGTTTTTGTTTTCTGTAGCAGGCACTAGCATAAATTCTCATCAAAATTGAGTGGTTTTTCTTTTCTATCAAATCGTTGAATTTTGCATTTTTGAGGATGGGTTTGCAAGGCCCAGTAACTTGTTACTCTTGTGCGGTAGCGTTTTCACTATTTTCTTCCATCACTTTCACAATGGAACAAAGAAAATAAGAAGAAAAGTGGCGATAAAAGGACAAAAGTGTTACAAAATCAACTTTGTATCGGGGAAACTTTTTATTTAGTTCATTAAATATTTCTTTTTTTTTGTGGACAGGTCATTATGTATCTGAAATTGGTGAGTCGACATGGTGACCTAATTATTATGATTTTTTTTTTGGGGGGGAGGGGGGTGCAAACCTTTCCTTTTCTGGTTACAAAAATCTCCCAATTTTTTTTATAAAAAAAAAATCTAAACCCTTAAAACTAAGCCGTAGACCCTAAACAACCAAACTCTAAATCTTTCAAGTTTTTTTTTTTTTTTGTAAAATACTGTTTTGACAATCTTTCCAAAAAATTGATGTATTATTCTAATAACTAGTTGGTAAATTAGTACTATTTTGAATATTTCTGATGTAGTTAAAATACACAGTTGACCATTAAACTAAGTGAATATCACAGATAGTTTAAATTTTAAGATAGTAATAAAGAAAAAAATACACCATAATTATTCTTCTTATTTTAGATTAACTAAAAAACATCATTGCTCAGATTTATTTTTTTTATTCTGGCATTAGGATATCATCTGATATCAATAACTCTGTTCACTCGACAGTTAACTATTTGATTAACAAGATATCTAATATAGTATCACAATAAATTCACATATTATGTGTTAACCGCTTGGTTATCATTTTAATTAAGTTATCATATCATATAAAATATGAAAAAATAATTTAAAAAGTATGAGTTAATATTTTACATGAGTTATTGATACATACATGTAACATCCTAATATATTAAAAATCTGAATAATAGTTAACGTGTTAACAAATTTGTAACAGGCTAACAATAATATATGTTACTTATAAGATGTTAACAATAATATTTAATAGATTTAACGTGATAAAAATTGAATAGTGATAATAACACTGGTTGTATTTAATATACAATTTTTAGTATTACAAGTATAATTGTAATTATTAGTTATGTTCATAAATAGTAGGAAAAAAATAAGATGTAACTAACTAATTATCTATAAAATTAGGCATTAACTAATCACCCTCTAAGTTGTATTTTAATTACCACGTGGTTTGTGGAAGATCAATTTTTTCAATAGAAATCGAACATCATCAATTGACGAGAATAAAATAATAGTACCATGATCATAATTTCTCGGGTGAAGCTAGATATGGGTTAACTCCTCCGAAGTCTCCACCCTTTACCTCCCTTAAATGATATGTTTGCCCAACTTCACCACCAATAATCCCAACGATAACGACCCCTGATGAGAAGGAAGAAGAGATGAGCGATAAGCAGAGTAACAGAGCAAACCTAGTCCTCTGCTCCGCCATCTTTATCGTAGGTCAACAGTTTTAGAGAGAGATGGTTTATCGGAAAAGAAGAGAGAGAGAGAAAATAAATGAAAAATAAATAGTTTGAAAAAATGAAAGGGTAAAATGTTATTTTCTTTGATGAACACTGTGTAAAAAGTGGTCAAACTTACCCACTTAACTAGCTAATGTACCAGTACTGTGTGCGGACTACAAATGTTTAGTAAATCAAATGTTAGAATTTTAAAAATAATTTATTTATTATATGTTTATTATATTTTTATTGTTTTTTATTTATTTATACTAAATTAGAAATTTGAATAAATCTTTTTTTAAAAGGAAAAATTAAAATCGATAATTACTCACAAATGATATATATATATATATAATCTATCGATAAAATCTAATTCGAATAAGCCATTTAATAATGCAATTTTCCATCATCTCCATTACATGCAATCTTATTGACACTTTCAAATACAAACGAATTGATATGATCTTTATAAAATTTTCTCTATCATAACCCTCAACTCCCCACACATATCTTGCAGATCGATTTGATTCTTTGTTATATTTATGTAAGCTAAGCAAAGATTTTGACCACAGAATTTAATAGGAAACATTGCATTATAATTTTGATGTTGTAAATGTTGCATTAACATCTGTCTTATCAATTGGGTAAGGAAAAGCAGTTGTAAGCTGAATAGCTGCCTATTGGGAAATTCTACTTTATAAAAGTCGAACAAGTTCAGGAGTAATTAGTCGCTCTAAAAGAAAAATATGGGAACTCCTTTCGACATCAATTCTCTGCCGTCGGATATGTTGTTCGAGATCCTCATGCAAACGACGAGTTCCTCTTTTGCTGATTTGTGCAGAGCGAGAGTTGCCATGCGAGCGATGAACGAGTTATCAAACAAAGTGGGGTTCTACCAACGGATGGATCTGATATCTCTTAATATTCTGTTTCGTTGGGATGAGAATCGAAGAGTTGGTGATTTCTATGCACACTGTTTTGAATCTGGTAATCCTACAGTCTCTTTCTTAAGAGGATGTCATATTTCTTTTGTGAAAACAATATTGGGGAAGGGATGCATTTAGTTAAAGAGGTAGCAGATATGAGATGTTTGATGGCGAAATACTATCACTGTATGCTTTGACTTGCAATGGAAGGGAGGATAGAAGGATTCGAAAGTGTTAATGCCTTGTCTAGGGGAGAAGCTTTGAAGATGAGAGACGATCATGAAACAGCTCGAATGATCCATGGGATATTCAAATTCCTGATGAGTTCAATTGACAGTGTGTTTGGGTGCGTCAAGAAATATACAGAAGCAACTGTGCTTGCCTAAGGTTCAACTTAGATGGTTGGCCACACACGCCTAAGGAAGTCGAGTGTTTGTGCGATGTTTGTTTCTGAAAATTAAAGACTTGGTTATTTTGCAAATGAATTCCTCATCAAGCGTTGTTGTGGCGAGAAGAGCAATAATTATACAATTAATGTTATATTTTGTTTTGGTTATGGTTATTTTATCTATAATGTTTATGGAATATGATTAGTATTTTGATAGGCTTTAAGACAATTTTTATATAGGCATTGTCACATTTTAGTCTATATGTTATAAGTTAATAAGTTATCAGTCTTGTTTATAAATGAGGATGGAATAGGTTGTTGTGGTGATTAGTAAGTAATAAATGTTTGCTAATTAATTAGGTGGTTGTGTGTTTATTCATGGTAAATTTGAAAACATTTTGAAATTATTCTTAATAGTGGATAATATCGACGTTGTGAGAGTTGTACTATAATTATAGGATCTGATTAAACTATTTTTTGTAATTGTATAAAATCGTGTCTTACCATGAATTGAAATAATGCTGGGTGAGGAGAAGGGTACACATGGTCAGACATGGTTGGAATATTTTTATGTGTGGTGTGAAGGATAATGAGAATCATGATTAGTTTTGCAGAGCACAAATGCAGATAGACATTGAATTGTTGTCATATAAATGTTTCCAATAATATGGACATATCCAAAAAGCAAAAACAATATATTAAAAGTAATGTGGATTGTATTATTTTGGTTAACCTGATATGGTTTTATGGTATCTATGTGAATTTATTCCACAGCTTAACATTTACATGGTTATTATATATTTTTGACTGTACATGTTTATCTTGACTAGAAATTAAATAACGCGACTTTCCCAATTTGAACATAGCATAAAAGTTAATGTGATTATAGTATAAATCGTTGAATGGAGTATAATGTGGTTTCATGGATGACCACTGGCACAACTATCCATAATTGGAAATTTTTTATTTGTATGGACATGATTAAATGGACGACTTGGGGTGGATACTATAAATCAACATTGACAATAAAGAGACAGTAGTTATCTAAAAGGTTGCAACATATTAAATAAGGGTTATTAAAGGAATGGCAATAGATTGTCCATTTTTCAACTTACTAACGGTGAATTCAAAACTGCTGTCTCGGTAAAGAAATCGGGTTTTCAATACGATTTGCAACCCTTTCGTTTAAATCTGATACAAAATTGTTTCCACAAGGTCGTGCCTTTTCAGGCTTTCTACAAATATAATTAAAAGGGTGATCACACTCCAATAGGTTGAACTTATCTTCTTTGATTACAACATATTTAGAGGTATTTTCTATTTTTTTCCTAACGAGAGTTCTTACTTTGGAACCGTGTGCTCGTTTATTAAGCAGTTAAATTTTTTTTGTCTTATATAGAAACAAACATGAGTAATCGAGGACAGAGAAGGCATTTCAACAATAATTTGGTCAATCGTTGATAATCACAGTTGTTATCACTACCTGATGAATTGTTGGACAAGATTCTGGGATATAGTTGTCATTCTCTCCAACAAATTGCCAACCTGCGTTTGGTATGTAAGCGTTTCCAGACCTGCACCAGAAGCAATTTTTTCCTTCAGTCAATTGACCCCATCGACCTGCAGATTCTACCTTCTATAGAGGGGATAGTCGAGTTTTTTGACTTGTTTAAAATAATGTATGAGGCACGCAATCCAGGGACTCTATTCATAAGGGGGATGCAAAACTACTTCATACATCATAACAATCAAGGTATAGAACTAATCAAAGAATCTGCTGATATGGGCTATGAATTCGCAGTTTACACCTATGGAATGTTCATGAAAGCTGTACGTCAATACACTATTGGTGACCACTACCTTGCCAAACTAACAAGAAGGTCTCTTAGGAGGATCATTCGGAAAATCATCGATGACAGCCGCCGTTCATATCCATTTGCGTTGCCTGAAGAAATATTGACAAGGAGGTTTGAATTTAATCGTCACTTTGTCACTCTTTGGACTTTTGAATGTGCTGTTTGCGATGATAGACTAGATTGGCACAATGAAATGTTGAAGGGGCCAAACATGTGCATATCCTGTTTCTGAGCACAGGAAATTCAGAAG